CTTGGAGGAGAGTACAAAGCATCCCGTTGATTTGAATGAAAACTGACTTAATGTTTCTACATCATAATTTGTCATCTTTTGAGACAGCAAACTGTAAAGCCTCAGCAATGTGGATAACTAGATTGTGCATGCTGCAGCTGGGAAAACAGGTTTCCTTCCTCAAAGTGCTATTTGTTTGATGAATGGCAGTTGAAAGAAACACGAGCTAACAACTTAATCCTATATATATTATGTGATATATTATGAGGCCTGAATGGAGTTTAGTTGGCAGACAACAATGTAGGCTTTATCATCACTGAAAATGTAAGGCCCAAAGGCTTTGAAACTAAAACCAGAATGAGAGGAAAGCTAGGTGGAGCGTGGGGAGGGGTTGATTCGTTTCATGCTCATGCCCACCACTTAGATTTAACTTGCTGTTGAAAGATCCCGTTTTCTCTTTAAATGGAAGTTTCACACCACAGCTGCATGTGGGTTTTCTTATTAATACAAGAACACTGTTATACAAAAACCCCCACTGTCCATGTTGGCTTTTTAATGTTGCTATATAGTCACTAAATACTGCAAAAAATGCCATGCATGCTGGTATCAACCCAGGCTTGCTAGAAAACACTGCAGGGTCTAGAAATCTTTGTCCTACAGCATCTGATATCCCCATATGAGCCATTAGGCTTTGCAAAGCCAGGTTTTGCAGTTTTTGATGTGGCTGGCTGGCTGCCCACATCACTAAATTCTCTCCTTTTCTGCCCGTGTCATGGCTTCCTCCAGGAATTGATGCTGGGGCAAGAGCACCGATGACAGGACAACGTCGCTTACCTTCCGATGCATGGTGGGGTTCCCAAGGCAGAGCCCTGCTCAGGAAATCCTTCTCCGTTTTTAGTAACATAAAGGACAAACTGAGGAATTTCTCTTGACAGGAGTAGAGGGAAGAAACTGAGCCGAGCTGAATTGAGTGAGGATGCCGAGAACCTAAGTATAGTTGATGGGCTCTGTTCAGCGCTGGGGATTGTCTCTGTCTGTCTGTATCAGACTAAAAACTCCATCTTCAACACAGGAGGTTTTTTGTTGCTTTTCTGTGTTGGACTAAAACTGTAAGAGAATGTGACAGAACCAAGTCAGCCAGAACTCGGGTGTATCTGCTCGCCTGTCTCCTCCAGGGAGGGACTGATACACTTTTAACATCAAAAACACTGGGGTTTTTTTTATTCTATGAAAACGACCAGAATTTTTTTTTTCTTTTCTCTTTCTAATAGAGAAAACTCCAA